CGGCCTGCCTCGTTGTTGTGTGTTTCCATGCTGGCAGGGTGGCTCCGTCTCCCCTGTGCCGTGCAGCCAAAGGGAGGTTTGGCCCTCGGAGGGCCGTGGGCGGCTGTTAGAGGGAGGGAGGGCTATGAAGGGCTGGGGCAGGGGCTGTGCAGCCCTTCTCTGGATCCTTGTGCCCATCACCCCCATTTCTCTTCCTTGTGCAGACTCCTCCCCGAGCAGTAGCAGCACTCCTGTGTCTGGCTGCAGCTCTCCCAACGACAGCCTCCCCGCCGAGCACGGAGCCCTCCCCGCTGCCTCCGGCATGGCCCACGAGGTGAGCTCCGACGGCCTCGCAGCCAGAGGTCTCGTGGGTTGGGGCTTCCTGACCCCAGGGTTGGGTGCCCTGATCTCCCACTCCCATCCTAGGCTCAGGCAAAGGTAGCATCCACCCCCGGGGACCCCAGCCCTGAACCCTGCTGCCCAGGAACTGCCCTTAGCCCTGCTCTCCCTGCACGGTGGGATCTTCTGTCCGGCCCAGCGCTGCTCCTGACACACTGCCCTCCTTTGCAGTTGTGCATTTCTTGTCTCCTACTGTATGTGCTCTCCCCACTGGGCCCCAATGCCCCTTGCCCTGGCCCGAGGTGTTCCTCCAGGCAGCTGGGGCTCAGCCACCCTCTTCTGCTGCCTGCGCCCAAGCTGCTTGTCCCATGCTGAACTCTGCCGCTGCCGGAGCAGGAGACTAATGAATTGTGTTTGGTGCAGACGCCCCTGGCCCAGCGCCTGATGATGCAGGAGAGCTCACTGGCACAGTTTGCCCTGCAGAGTGCAGCCTCCCTTCCGGCCATCACGCTGGGATTGCCGGCTACCACTAGCGCCAGGGTAGGTAGCCAGGTTGTAGGTAGCCCCAGAACTGGGCAGAGGGTTTCCCGCGGGGCAGGGGAAGCCCTTTCCTTTGGGCCTGGGGTTCCTGGGGTAATGCCAGGCGTGCACTGGCTCTGAGTATTCACAGGCGCTGCCCGTGCGCAGGGTGAGGACATGCCGTCCCCTCCCCGTGCTGTGTCTCGGTGGGTTGCTAACCCAGCCCTCCTCCTCTCTGCAGGGAGAGGCAGATCGCCGCCCCCTCTCCAGCCTGGCACACCGGGTGCCTGTGCTGAACGGACCTGTCCTCACGGGCACACACTCGCCCATGTTCATACCAGCTGGCTTGGAGCAGCACGAGGCTGGGAGCCCCTTGTCCCCTCGGCTCCAGCCTGTCATCATCCTCGAGCCCTCGGTCACCCACACTCCGCTGGTGGCGGGTAAGTGTCGAGCTCGGTGACGGGCACTGAGGCAGGCAGGCAGGGCTCAGCATGGAGCTTCGCTCAGGGCTGGCAGGTTTATTGGGTGCCAGGAAAGCCCAGTGGCCTTGATTTTTCCATTACTCTTCTGTGAGCTGGGACCGAGGGAATGGAAGATGTTGACCCTGGTTCTGGCTAGCCAGTAAGCATGTCCTTGCCAGGGATGCACCATGGCCTCAACAATGCAGAGAGAGCCATAGCTTTGGCTCTTCCCTCCAGCTGCCCCTTGCCCGGCCTGAGCTGGGCTGGTATGGAGCCGTTCACCTTTCCTGCAGCCCAGAAGCCCCCCTCCACGGGGTCTTTCCTGCCTTTTCCTAGGCTCTTGTTCCAGCAGATTTCACTACAGACCCTATGTTGAGCAGGGCAGCTCAGACCTCTTGGTTGTGCTTCTAGCTGCCTTATTCCCCCCAGCCCCTCTAGGTAATCCACTCTAATTGTAGCAGAAGAATTGGCTCCTTTGTGCTGGTTCCTGGCTCCATCTCTCCCTGCCCTGTAATACCTGCAGTGAAGGAAGCTTCTCCCAGTAAGGATGAAGCTGAGGGAGGACTGAGATGATTGAGGTCGGCCAGATCCTGTCCCCAGGCCCCTGTGGGCGGAGTGATGCCAAAGTGATGGGGACAAAAGGAGGGGAGCCGTAAAGAGACAGCCCATCCATCCTAGCCTACCAGATACTGGGCTCCAGGGCTGGATCAGTGTCATTTTTAGGGCTGTCTGGAGTTAGTCTGCATGGGTACAGACAGCACTGCTGCTTGCCATGCCCAGCTCTGCAGGGTGTTACATCTGCCCAGCGGACAGTGCCACCCCTCACCTCTCCTTCATCTCCCCTGCAGTGCCAGGTCTGGGAACGGTCCCCTTCTCCTTCGCCCCCTCACTCATCTCGGCAGAGCGCCTGTCGCTCCCAGGCCACCATAAACCGCTGGGCAGGACCCGCTCGGAGCCCCTGCCCCAGAACCCCAAGGCCATCCAGCAGCAACTGGTGTACCAGCAGCATCACACTCAGTTCCTGGAGAGACTCAAGCAGCAGACGCATCTGGGCAAGGTAAGTCGTGGAGGCCCATCCCAGGCATGTAGGAGGCAATGGGAGACAGATGCTAGAAGGGTGCAAGATGGCACCCTACCTGCTGGGCAGTGAATACCAGATGTCCAGGGCAAAGCCAGAGGCAGGCATGCGAGATGCTGCCTTGCCCAGACTCGTAGCAGCAAGCTGAGGGTACCTGCTTGGCTTCCTTGGCTCCCACATCCGTCGTGCTTCTGCCCTGAGATCCCCTGCCACCCCTCATGACCTCCTCAGCCTGGCCTGTCCCCTGCTACCTCTCTGTGCTCATTTGTGACCCCTCCGGCTGCAGCGCATGGCTAAATCCAGCGAGAAGCCCCGTCTGCGGCAGATCCCCTCCTCGGAGGACATGGAGGCTGAGGGGACGCTTCCAGAGGCCGGGGCTGAGAGCAGTGACCCAGCGAGGGCACGCGTGGAGCCCACACGGGCGGGGAGCAGTGTGAAGGAGCCCGAGAGGACGCAGAAGATGATGCAGCCTCAAGAGGAGCTTGTCCTACAGCAGGTACCCGAGGGCTGGCAGGGATGGGAGAGCCCTGGGGAGGGGTGCGGGCTGCCAGCCTGAAGCAGCCCTCTCCCTTCTGGGCACAAGGAGCCCATGGAGAAAAGGGACGATGGCTTCTCTGGCTGTCACAAGCTGCATGGAGTCCTTGGGGTGATTTGAAGTCTTCATACAGGCTCAGGTGTGGGCTGTAAGAAGTGGAGTTCCCAGCCTTTTCCCTGTCTCCAGTCGTGGTTTAATTGCTTTGAGCGTTAGTTCTGTGCAGGCAGCGTGCAGAGATCCCTGCCCTGCGATTTGGAGCAATTTTTAATTCATCCCTTGGTGTCTCCTATTTGAGGCTTTGCACAAACCCAGCAAAGCTGGTAGCATTCTGAGCCTGGGAAGATTCAGATCAGACCCTGAGAGCCACCTCCATAAAGGGGTGCTGTGTGGGTAAGGACACAGGCACCACGTCTGTACCTTCCTTGAGCCTGGGCCAGTTTGTTAGGACAGGGTCGAGAGCTGCAGCCACCCTTGGTGTCAGCAAGGCTGGGCATCGTCCCCAGGTTGCTGCGTATCGTCCCCAAATTGCTGCGCCTTGCAGCAGGGCTGCCCAGCACTGCGGGGCTGAGCCAGCAGAGAGCAGCAGATGCTGCGTGATGTGTCCCAGCTCCTGCAAACCGGCTCCGAGCCCCCCAGCATGGAGGGGGCTGTCATATCCAGACCCTGGGAGGGTGCACAGTGCAGAGCTCCCTTCCCTGGGCCGGGTGATGCTGCCTTCACCGCCCTGGTGTCTTGCTCTGGATGTCGTGCTCTCCGCCGCCTCTCTCCATCAGGCCTATCTCTGGGATTCCTACCAGCGCGTGCAGCAGCAGCTCCTCAAGCGGCAGCCCTTGGCCGACTCCCCCATGGTCCCCACCATCCATGCGGGGCACAGGCCCCTCTCCAGGGCCCAGTCATCCCCTGCCACCGCGACCGTCTCCCTTCCTGCCCAGGACACGGCCTCCAAGACGCTCTCCCTGCCTGTGCAGGAGCAGCCAGCCAAGCCGCACTTCACAACAGGTACGGCCTGTGCGGGGCTGTCACAGCTGGAGCAGCAGCAGGGACTGGGGACAAGAGCTGGAAGGGAGGTGGGGATGCCCAGGGGCAGCTTAGCATCAGTCCCAGTCACTCCCGGACTCATAAACGCTTGGGAGTGCTCTGGCTGGCTGCAAAAAGAGCAGAGCAAGCCATGAGGAGCCCCTTCTCCTTATCTAAGGTGGCTTTTCCAAGCAGGACTTGCCCATCTGGCCCCTTGACTGCCATCCTGGTCCAGTGATGCTGGCAAGGTTCAGCTCTCTTGCATATCCAAGGCAGGATTTGCTTCAAGCATGTTGGGACAGAGGTTCCCATGGTTTGAGGGAGGCATTTCAGTCAAACCAAATAGTTACGGGCGTTTAGGTTCTCATCCAGCCCCTGAAAAGGAGCTGAATTAGGGTCAGCACTGTCGAGACCTGGGGTCCAATCCAGTCTCGGGACAGCAGCTCTCCTTGTGCATCGCAGGGCTGGTTTACGACTCGGTGATGCTCAAACACCAGTGTTCGTGCGGTGACAACAGCAACCACCCAGAGCATGCGGGCAGGATCCAGAGCATCTGGTCCCGTCTGCAGGAGAGAGGGCTGCGCAGCCAGTGCGAGGTGAGTGCGAGCAGCAGCCGGACGCCTGTCCGGGAGGGGGATGCTGGTATGAGCAGATCTCGTGCTAATGGTGTGATAGGGTATCTTGCTCCCACTTCCATCCCTTTTGCTCCCAGATCTTCTCAGCCTGTTAAACACCATTATCCAGATGGCTTGGACTTGTCCGTTGCTGGCAGTGCCAAGGCAGAGCATGCTGGTCTGACCATCTCCAGCTTTGGGTGGCAGCAGGAGTCTGCTCTGCTGGAAGATGGGCAATAGGGAGAGGCGGGATCCCTACTGAAACAGGGTGTTTTGCCAACGTGGGGAACATCGGTGTCAGTTCCAGTCTGTTAGAAACTCTGGTCTAGCTGGGCTGACTGGTCCACGCAGGGCTCTGCAGTTGTAGGAAGGTGGTGCTGGCATCTCCTGCCTGATCTCTGCCTGCAAATCAGGGGTGCTCAAGTTCAAATCCAATGCAAGAAGCACAATGCTCAGCCTTGCAGCTGCCTCCCCAGCTGTGACATGAGGTGTGGCTGTGCTCGTACATTAAGACGTGCCACCTCCACGCTCGGAGGCTGGTGTGTGTGGGTGGGAGAGCCCGCGTCTCCCATCTGGAGCAGCTTGGTCACAGCCCCTGTCTGCCACAGTGTCTGCGGGGACGCAAGGCCACCCTGGAAGAGCTGCAGTGTGTCCATACCGAGCGCCACGTCTTCCTCTACGGCACCAATCCCCTCAACCGCCTGAAACTGGACAACGGGAAGCTGGCAGGTGAGTCCACATCCACACCGCTCCCTCGGGCAGCAGTGCCCTTGCCTTCTGCCTGTCCCCTGCCCGCACATCCACACCGGGTCTCGGAGCAGCCTCAACCGCACCAAGCAGCTCCCCTGGAGGCTGGTCCTAATTCTGGCCGAGCAGCCAGGCCAAACCTCCCTCCTTGGTACCCCTGTCCATGCGCCCTGTCCCCCACCATTCCCCAGTTTCTCAGCTCTGAAGTTCTCGCTGTTCCCTCTCTCTGCAGGGATCCTGTCGCAGCGGATGTTTGTCATGCTGCCCTGCGGAGGGGTGGGGGTAAGTGCTCAATCTCAGCTCTGGTCAGTTTTGGACGGGGTTGTTCTTTTCTTCTGTCCCCAGTGAGGGTCTCCTCATGGGCTTGAGTGGACAGGGATCTCCTGAAGCCTTTGGGCTGCCAAGGTTGGGTAGCCTCAGGTGGGAGCACTCCATCTGTGGGCAAGGCGTCATTGTATCGGAGCTTCCCCCTGTCCTTGGGACGGTCCTAAGCATCCCACCCTTGAGAGGGGATCCTTTATGCCTCCTTACTCTAAGGGGCC